TGATCAAGTGGTACACTGCTGCTAAGGACATCTGTATGATGGGGTGTTCTGTTTTTAGAATAAAATTATTTTTTCCCCCTCAGATTTGTTGGAATTATTTAAAGTTAAGGTGGGATTCTTGATCTTGAAAATATGAAGAAACTAAATTTGGTTTTAATTCTGTTTTTCTTACCTTGGAAAATAAGAAAGTGGCATCTATATAAACTCATCTCTGCTGAGATTAAGATAATATTTAATTGTTGTTGTAGATTATAAAGTTCTACATTCAGTAGCATTTGTTTCTGTTTCTCTTTATGACAGGAAATTTTTGAAACACCAGCTGAGAGGAAAGAACTGTGAACTCCTATTGGTGGTGCCAGAGGAGGTGGAAGCACATCAGACCTGGAGAGCTGACGTGTGACCTGGGTCATCTCTGTCCTCCCACTACAGTTCTTCCCCTTTACCAAATTCCTGATGTCCTAAAACCTGGATAATGGGTGCCCCAACTCTCTTTGTCTGGAATTCCCTTTGTTAGGCTCTTCTCTTCCTTCCTTGGTGCAATAGGGCAATGGCACAGGACATTGGGGGTGGTGGGTGGGGAAGAACTGCGGGCAGAGCAGAGGAAACTGGAAGCCAATCACTTTAATTGCAAGGTGGATGAGCTGCAGTGCCCTTTGGCCAGCTGGAAGGCATCACACTCTTGAAAAACTGGGCTGGGGAGAAAGAGTGCCTGGAAACCCTGGGTCTCCATTTCCCCACGTGGTTCAAGGCTGTGTGTGGTGGGATGCTGCTCCCTCCAGGGCTTGTCAGGAAGGAGCAGGGACTGAGCACCTGCCACCTCTTTACAGTTCTCTCCCTTCAAAACAAGTTGTTGTGAAGACATTTGCAATTCCTAAGGGTCTCTCAGGACACTCAAAACACTAGGAATGGTACGGTGCTCAGCACGACCCTCTGCTTCTTAGGGCTGGTTTGTGCCAGGAATTAGGAAACAATAATAAAACCAGAGTCATCTTCCAAGAAATTCTTTGGGTAGTAGCTAGAGGATTCTTCCCCAGGGTCTGCAAGGATTTATGTATGTGGTGAGTGGTTGTTTGGCAGTGTGTGTCTGGCTAAGGTGACATGGAAACAGCAAACACAGGATGACGGAGGAGTATCAAGTTTCTGGACTGGAGAGAGGCCACAGTCTGCTTGGGTTTCTTCGTGCTGTGGTGGGGTTTTTTTTTACTCTTTTTTAACAGTTATTTTGGTTTTCTGCATGGTCATTCAGTAGTTTAGGGGCTTCTTGGAGAGAGGAATAAAGCTGAAGAGGTTTTCAAAGAAATTAATTCCCTTTTATTTTCCTCTCTCCAGAAGTCCAGCCCACAGTCACAGATGTAATGTGAAATGAAAGAGGTCAAGTTATAAAATAAAAATGGGCTGAGGAGGGAAGCCTTTATAGCAGTCAGTTTTGCCCTTTTATTGCTGCCATCTGCTGGTGTGGGAGCTGCAGAGGGTCCACCAGAACTTCCAGGCATTGGAGACACCCTGGCTTGGTACTGAACCAACCTCTCCTTTAGCATTGGCCAACAAACATTCCATTAATGGGTGAATTGCTTTTTTCTGCTTTCCATGGGGAAGAGAGACTAGACACAGAGACACTAAGAGGAATCTCCACCAGCTGTTTCCCAGTCTCCCAGGAGAGCTGTAGCTCAGCCATGCCTTCCATGGCAGGAGGAGGAAATGCTGAGTCTGGAACTCACTTCGTTGTGTTTAGCACTTCCTGGCTGAGCTGCTGTTTGCTTCCATCTTTACATGTTGAACAGCAACCTCTGGGACCTGATGGAGCTCGAAGGATCCTGTTCCATCATGCAGGAAACTCATTACTGATGTTTGAGCTGGTGAAAGGAGGGATTGTAATGACCTTTTCTCAGTTATTTTTCTCTCCAGAGCTCTGCAAACGCATGGGCAGGTGCTCGAACCTCAGAGACCACCCAAGTGGCACGGTCCCAACAGAGAACACGGGCCACACGACGACAGGACGATGGTGTTTGCTGAGCCCCGGACATCTGGCAAGCACTTCTGCAGTCCTTTGAGCACAGCCTCCCACAGTCAAGGGCAAATGGCTCTTACGTTTTAAAAAGTCCTATTTCGTAACACATTCCAATGACCAATACCAGCTGGCAGAGTTTTTAAACACTTTCCAGGCAGGATGTTCAGCCTGCAGGCATTCTGCTCCTGACTTGAAGCCATTTCTTCAAGAGGGGAAAATATAAATCTCAACAGCAACATTTTCTATGCTGATTGAAGTTGCACTTTGGAGAAAAACCCTGTTTGCATGGGAACTGCAAGCCAATGGATCAGTGCACAATATGCAAAGATGTTTTAAAATACTTCGGGGCTGCTTTCCTTTCCTTGTATGTCAACTGCTTTCCCAGGGGAGAAACAGTGTGATCCAGCTGCTCAGGTAAAGGGAAAGTGTATGATCACATCCCTGTGGGAGGTGAGGCTGCTGTGCCCGGGGGTGGGTGAGCTGGTCCAGTCCCACTGCTCGGGAGCGGGGAAGCCCCTCTTTGTTTTCTTGCTTGTTTGGTTTTGTTAGAGCCTTGTCTTGGGTTTGTTTACAGAGATGTATTTTGTTTAACCAAATATTAAAAATGGAAAAAAAAAAGTTTCCATATAAATGTCCTATCACTTCTGTATGTTCAATTCAATTGTTCTGTAACAAAGTATGTAAAGGATAAATAAATTTTTTTTTCTTTGGTTATAAAACCACCACGTTTCTGTGCCTTAAGAACCTTGAACGGTGGACACCGGTGCTGAGGTAGGATCACCTCCCGGAGAATTCCCTTAAGCCAGCGGCTTCCCCACCCCTCTGAAGGTGACAAGGCCACGTCAGTCCCTTACGCGCTGCCAGGCTGTGCATGAAATGGAGAGATCCCTACCCAGACATCCCCAGCAGCTCTGAAAGAACTGAGCCTCCCTCAAGGACATCTATTAAAACCACACTGCTCAGGTTGGATTTATTTAATATTCCATACAAAAAAATACGCAGCTGATGTCTGTTCTACTTTATGAGGCAGAGAATCTGCGTGGATGCGATCGTCTCAAACCTGGCCTGCTGCTCCCTCGGTTCTCACACGCACAGCTGCAGTGAAAGTGTTTCTGCAGACGCATCTTCCCAAAGAGTATTTTCCGTGGGGTATTGATTGCCACCGGCACCCCTCCTTCCTCTGCTGGGAAAGTCACACTTCCTGCCACCACTGTCCTTCAGCTCCAAATCAGGCAGGAAAGCATTTGTTGTGTCTGCCTGCTGCTTTTCAAAGCCTGACCTGTGCCCCAGGGTGTTTTGTGGGGGCAAGAAGCTGGCAGAGGAGCTCCCCCGGTCCAAGTCTGTAACTGGTTATGGCAAGTGATTGAATGAAAGGAAATACTCATGATTTCTAAAGGAGAGGGGGATGCAGACAGGAGCCATCATCAGGTCCATAGGGGGGCTTCCCTCCCTCGTTACGAACAGGTCAATGTCCCAAAGGAGAACCAAAAATAAAAAGAAAAAATGCCCTGGCCCAACAAATCAACAGTTCAATATATCATAATCGCAAGGTCTTCCCACTTGATATGAATCCAACTTGGCTTCCGCAAATTAGATTTTTCCAGACAGCGGAGGCAGGGCCCCTGGCATTCCCCCTGAGAGCCCTGTGTTGGGTCCGAGGAGGATCTGGAAAGAAAACCATTGATTGAGGGGTTTCAAGGACGCAAATGTCTTGCCATGCTGTCCCCCTCCCACAGGTACTGGTGGCACTTTGCAGCACCAGTCCCGCGCCTGCTGCAACAGCCGAGGCCAGCGCCCGACCACAGCCCCCGTTTCAGCCCCTCGCAGCATATTTTGGCTGGTAAAAGCCTGGTTGTGCTTGCCAGGCATTGCCACCAGCCTGACACTGGGAATCAGCAGGACTGTCTAATTGGAACAGCCAGCCAGAGAAGCCGGTGGGATGAGCGCGGCCACAGCGCACAGCAGAGCGCACCGCTCCGCCGGCTGCCCAGCGCTGCTCCCAGCGGGAGGTGCAGGCACTGCCAGCCAGCTCCGCAGGGACACGGCTGCGCCTTCCCGCCTCACCTGTCGCTGCTGCAGCTGCTGCTGTTGCTCCATCTGCAGTTTTTCGGTTTCAAAGACGACAGGAAGAACCAGAATCATGAAGGAGGTGGTCCCAATCCACAGAGCTGCCCTAGAGAATCTGTCAAGGACACAGAACCCTAGGAATCAGTTCTTACTGGCCCAGTCTCGCGTTTCCCTTCCGTGCCTCAACCATAAGCCTGCCTCCAGATTCAACCCCGAGCTCCGGGGCGTCCCCTTATCCCCGCCCTTCCCAAGCCGCCCATAAACAAAACCCGTGATTCTGCCGCTCCCCGCAGGCCCCGCACTGCGCTACCGGCGGCCAAAGCCGCGGCGAAAGCCGGCGGAGCCGCCCGCGCCCCCGCTCCGCCCGCCGGGCCCGCTGCGAGGGGCTCCGGCCCGGCCCGCCGCCCCCTCACCTGTACATCTTCTGCGCTATCGTCAGCGACAGGTCGAACGTAGCCCCGGCCGCCGATCGGACGCTCTCGGGGAACATCTCCGTGAGTCCCCACAGCCGCTCCGCCAGCGTCTCGTCCAGCTGCGGGCGGCACCAACCACGTCAGGCCCCGCCGCACGGCCCTGCGCGCCCCGCGGGGTCACCGCGCCCGCCCGGCCTTCCCCGCCGCCTGCCCCGATACCTCCTCGTCGTCCTCCTCCTCCTCGTCGAGCTCGTCCTCCAGCTCCTCGGCCTTGCCCGCGCCGCCCTTGGGCAGCAGCTCCTCCGGGGACAGGGACGCCGCGGCCGCCATCGCCACCAGACAGGACGGAAGGAGCGGAGGCCAGAGCGCCGCCGGAAGCGCGGCCGCCCTCCCGCCACCCAGCCCGTGCGAGGCAGCGGCCCCTGGCGGCCCGGAGGAACAGCAACCGCGCCCCGCCCCGGCCCCCGCAGCACAGCGCGACGCGTCACAAACACCCTCAGAAAGCGGGTTTTAATTGCAAGGTTTTATATAAAATATGCAAAACTCTCGAGAACGAGCAACTCCAGCATCCTGCTCGCCCAAGGCAGGGACGGTGAGGCTTGCAGAAGCAGCCGCGGGCTCCCGGGGGGGCGGGCAGGGCTCTCCCCGCTCCGGTCAGGAGCCCTCAGGAGACCCGCGCCCCGCCGCCTTCGTGCTGGGCTGCGGTGAGGAAACCTAGCAAGGTAAAAGTGCTCTGAGGAAAATCGTGTTGATAACAGCGCTGTGGTGCCAAAGCAGCCATTAGAAGTACCCACGGCACCACACAACGCTGGAGGCATCTCGGCGCTCGTGGTCCCGTGAAACAAAGTACCTCCACACCGTACCAGCATGGCTGGGAGGCCCAAGCCAGCCCCAGCATCCTGTGGGCCAAGACCCAGAACCAGCCTGGCCGTCTCTTGTTCACTTCTTCCTCCGGCTGTGCTGCTTCAGCTCCTCCAGCTCCTTCTCCATGAGGTGGGACTCGGCGGTGGTCTCGGAGAGCTGGAACGCACAGCAAACAACAACAGGAGGGAGTTAAAAGCTTGTGAGGCTTTTCCAGCTTCACAGCACAACCGAGATTTACAGCCACAAGCCAGGTCCTGCAGGAGGCAATTTGTTCCTGTTGAGCAAGGGGGAAGCTGCCACGTCACGTTTCACTGAGATTGCGTGAAAAACCTGGAGAGCAGCTAGTGCTTCTGCTAAGTGTTCCAGCCACAAAAGCCATTTTCCACTTTTAAAACACATGAAGAGTAAGGAAATAAAATATTTGTTTAGAGTGACATAAAGGCTGAATCACTTATTAACTGTGAATAGACGTGTGTTCTATTTCCCTGAATGTCTCTCCAGATCTTAAGCATGAAAGCTGTGTAAGGTTGAATTTCTGGAAATTCTGAATTTTACTGGAAATTCTTTCATCCAGAGTTTTACACATAGGACAGATGTATCATCCCTCATGACAGCAGATGGAAGCTTTAATCTTCTGTGACCAGAAACAGTGGCTGTAACTCAGTTTCATAGTTAGGGCAGAGGACAGAGTGGCAAGAAAAATGCCATATTCTGTGCAGAAAGGGAAACAGGAGACATGGCACCTGCAGGGGCTTCTCTCTCCTCAGCCACAGTGTTCACAAGCTCTGATGTGGGGGGACCTTCCCCTGTTTTCACAGAGGGGATCAGGCTTTACTGCCACAGTCACTTGGCCATTACACCCGTGTTGCACGACAGGGTAAAGCAGAAAGTGGATGCATGGAGAACAGCCTTTTTCAGGGGACCCAGCACCCTTTGCTTGGGTATCCCCACTGCTATGGGCAGGCAGGAGTTGGGCAAAGGCTCACCATGTCCAGCAGGATGTCCACTTTCAGCCGAAGTAGGTTGTTTTCTTCCTCCAGCTGCTGGTTTCGTTTGCGCAAGCGCTGCAGTTCCCTGCGATCCCCCACGAAGCCTCCTGATTCTTGGAGGAAAGAAGGAGGTCAAAACACAGATTGTCAGCCAACCGTGGCTACTTCAGACCAGAGCAAGCTGAGCTGTACTCTACCTGAAACCCAGTGGCCATTTTCGAACTTCAGGCTCTGGCCAGCGAGGTTCATTGAGGGTGTGCCGTATTCCAGGCCCAGCTCAACCTCACGGGTGGATCTATCCAGCTGCAGGGAGAAGATCACATTCAGAGTTTCACAGAATTCCAGAGCCACCCCATGCTCTCCCACTTCTTAGTGACTGGCATTCCAGTGGAAGATGCTGGTCCAAATGGCCCCGGAGCCTGGAACCCTACTTTGGTCATGTACTGCTGCAGTTGAGGACTGGTTCCTCTCACTGCCATCCCTGCACTTTCTCCCACCTACACACTCATCTCCCTGCACTTGGAGACCACTGGTGAGAAGTTTTCAGTGACACAGTTCTGGACTGCAGGTGGGGTGATGATGATTCTTCCCTGAGCTATTCCATTTCTAGCTTCATGTACAGTCACAGTGATCAGGAATGGTGCTGCACTGCAGGAAGAAAGCAGCACAGTTGGAATAACAGAATATACTGAGTTGGAAAGAACCCACAAGGATTATTGAGTCCAGCTCCTGGCCCTGCAGAGAACAGTCCCCAAGAGCTGCACCATGTGCCTGAGAGTATTGTGCAAACACTTCCTGAACTGTCAGGCTTGGTGCTGTGACCACTGCCCTGGGAAGTCTGTTCCAGAGCCCAATCACCCTCTGGGTGAAGAACTTTTTCCTGCCCCAGGAGCAGCTGGGAGCCCTTGTAAGGACCACGGCACTCACAGCTGCCCACCCCTGCCACCGAGACATGGCTCCTGCAGCAAACCGCAGGTGCCGGCACTCACCAGGTGCAGGTTGGACAGCGAGGCCCATTTCCTGGGGGGGGTCTTCTTCGGGCTGAAGGAGTTCCCAAAGAGAGGCATTGCACGCTGCTGGCCAGGCCTAAGGCGGGCTCCTGAAGGAGCAGGAGAGACACAACAGGTCTGAGCCTGTGGGCCGAGAGCAGCATTGTTCTCCCCAGGCATATTCTCCCCAGGCAGAGCCCCCCAGCTCTCAGGCCAAGACAGCGATCTGGGGGGGTCCGGGCCGCCACCCCGCCACCGCCACCAGGCAGCACCGGCCCTCCACGGCCACGTCCCTCGCACCTCCAGCGCCACGTGACCGAGCCGGGCGGGGGACGGAGGACGACGGTGCGAGGTGTCACCCCCCGCCCCCCGCCCCCGGCCGGTACCGCCGGCGCCGCGCGGCCCGGCACCTCGGGGGGGCACGGGCCGTACCACCCCACGGGCACGCCGAGGAGCTGGAAAGGGGGCCCCGCGGAGCGCTGTGCCCCGCACGGGCCACCGCCGGGACGCTCCTTTGTTCTGTTTTCCCTCCCGGCATCTCACTGGCCAAAGCGGCGGGCTCGGCAAGAGCGGAGCCGATGAAGAATGCCCCCCAGCCCCCATCCCCCCCGCGCCGCAGTGGTAGGGTCAGCCCCGCGGTGCGGGGGCGGTTGGGTCGGGCTGTTCCATCGAGCTTCGCCTTAATTCCGGGGGGGCCGCACCTCTCCGTCGGGCCGCGCCCGCTCCCGGCGCTCGTGTCCGCCGCCGGTGGGATCCGCCGCGTGTCCCGGGAGCGGTTTGCGGCCGCCGCGTTGCCGTGGCGATGGGATCCGCGGCTCCGCTCCGCCTCCTGTGCTGGAGGGAGACGGGGGCGGAGTGCCGGGCGGCGGGCTTGGGGGTCGGCCTTGCTCGCGAGCTGCGTCAAACTCGGGCAGTATTGACGCCGCTTTCCTTAACACCTTCCCTAAAATGCTCGAATCGCCTGGAAGAGTTGTTAAAAATGCTTTTGGTGGGGATTGTTTGTTTATTTTTTCAGATAAATAACTAAACTCCATTAGGCAGAGAACCCTTCCGTGCTTTGAAGGTTGGAGATGTGGAGGAGGTCTGGAGTCCTGGACTGCTCGGGTTCGGGGGATGATGGCTGAGGAGCTGGAGAGAGCAGAATGGTACAGAATCGCAGAGTCAGTTCGGCTGGAAAAGATCTCTGAGGTCATCAAGTCCTGTCTTTGGCCAAACACCACCATGTGGACATGACTGTGACACTAAGTGCCATGTCCAGTCTTTCCTCAAACACCTCCAGGGACGGTGACTCCGCAGCAGCAGCTCCTCACAAACCTTCCTTTGAAGCAGTCCCAGCATCCTGATTCTCTGTGCACATTGCAAAGCCCTCCCTTTCAGCACATGGTGGAATAAATTTAGATTCCCTGTGTTACTTGCTGGCTTGTATTCCATGGGAGGTGGCAGTGGCAGTTGCTTTGGGTATTTTGAATGAATGGCATGGGTATGTAACATGTATCACCAGCACTTTTTATGTTACAGAGGCAAAATGCCACTCCTAAACTATAAAATAATTCTCCAACATGTTAGAATAGCAATCTGAAGTTACTTGCTTCATTGTTAAAAAAGCTTATGTTGAGGACTTCCTGGGGCTTTCCTGAAAAATTTTGGATTAATGATGTACTAAGATGCTGACTTTAGTTAAAAGGGAAAAATAGAGACAAGGAAAAAAAAAGGGGGGGGGGGGCAGGCAGATAAAAGGAGAAGAAAAGAAGAGAATCACCTACATTTTGATTTGGTTGGTACATGTATTAGTACTCCAGGAAAAAAAAAAAAATCTAACAGACTTCATTCCCAGAGTGCTTAATTGGTACCCTGCCTTAAGTGAACCAGAAAATTGCTCACTTGGAATGAGAATTGGAAAAATAGCACAGTTAAATCTGGTGACTTGAGACAAGAAAAATTTCTGGTGCTGCTGTATCTTTTGGTAGTCCAGCTAACCAATATCTGGTTCTTGCAGGACACATGCTATAAAAACAGTTGCTTTCAGACTCAGTAAAGCAGAGTCTGTGCACTGGAAAGCAGTGATTTTTGCAACAAGAAAAGTGATAATAATGGAGTGTGGGGTGGGAAGTCAACACCCTTAAAGGTGGAATAAAAACTTGCTGTTCAGAGCAAGGCCTTTGTGAAGTATTTCTGGCTTCTATCACCATTTAATACCCACACGTGTGTGCATATATTGGGTAAGAAAGGTGAAAGGAAGGTCCAGACAAATGAGGGCAAGAACTTTGGAAGGAAAGCTGAGAGCATGTAGAATTACAATTTTGAAATGAGAACATAAAGGCAGCTCACCTGGGGGCTTATAAGAGCCAAGAAGCATACAGAATAGTGAGGGACTGAGCTCACTTTGGTGGGGGTGGTTTTTTCTGTGATGTTCACCTTCCTAGAAGAAACCTGTATGTTTCAGCACAGTTGTTGCTTGAGTTCTCCGTGTGCTGAGCAGGATGAGTATTGTAATTGTATGAGGATGAGTATTGAAATACAGTGTCATTATTGTAAAACTAAACTGTCTCATGCATCTGGGGTTTCAGAGTGATTCCCTTACTGCCTTTTTCTGTGGAGCAGAGACTTGGAAAAAGCCGGGCAGCCCATCCCCACTTCCTTGGCACGGGAGGTGAATGCTTCCTTCTGTGCCTCATTGCTGCACCCACGGTGAATAATTAAAAAAAATGTCTGTGGCCATGGTCTCATAGTTGGTAGGGCTTGTCAACAAGAGTTCAGAAATATTCTCCTGGAGTCTAAGAGAAGGAGGTTCAGTGTCATGGTTTCTGCTGTGATTTGCTTCAGGAATCTTTCTTCTTTGGCATGGTTTGACGAAATTTAATTTCTCACCAGACTCCATTTCCTTGAAAAATGCTGTGGAATTTCCTTGCTGCAGCAACCTCCCAGGGTATTTTGGTAGCAGCTTTTCATCATTGTTTCTCCACCTACATCAGGTAGGTACCGAGACAAGAACTGACTGTTGCTGTTTCTAGCATTGTCTCTCAGTACATTGCAAATACATACATATATATATTTATATATAGTTTGATATATGATTTTCAGCTATGTTAAGAGCATTATGGTGTAGTAGTATGCATCCTTCTGTTCCTGTCACTCTATGGGGAAAAGAACACCTAGCAAACCTATTCTCCCAGGACAATAACTACAGAGATCACTTAGGAAGTGCAAAAGCCCGTGAAATGGTAAAGAACCTGTATGTTACAGTCGTTGTGTAAGGAAGCTGCCTGTGTTCCCAGGAGGACATCTTTGAGAACACTGGTGGAAGGCTGAGAGATTGACAGGATGAAGATAGGGCTGTAGCACATGGCAGTGTGGAAATTTTGGAATAGACCCAAGCTGTTCTTGATAGCCTAATTTGGAGCATCTTCTTCAGCTTTTTTGGCTCAAAAGTGATAGAGAATCTATAGCTTAGATGTTCTCAGAGCTGCTTTTAACTCCATAGTGTTTCTCTTTTTTTTTTCATGTACGCTGGGGGGTTATTATTGTTCTCTGTTATATCAATAATTACAGGGAAACCCCATTGACTGGTGAATTCAGTAGACTTACTCTAGGCTTACTCTGAGTATTTATTTTAGTTGTATTGAAAGTTGCTCCATTGCCTGGTTGTTACGAATATATAGGATTTATAAAGCCTTACCTATTGGTAACACCTGGTGGGCTAAATGAGGCTGAGTTTAAAACTCTTTTTTGGCATATTGAAATTAATTCCCTGCCCAATTAAATTTTTCAGCATGAGGTAATTCTTGTTGCCTCAGTGCAGTTAAAGATGTCCATTCTTTTAGAATCCTAGATATTAAATACCTCACCTATATTTTGTTGACAAAGCCGACACTTCTTTTTCTCTCTGTGTTTCTTTATTTCATTCCAGCTAACTCAAGAGGTAAAAGAACAGCCGTTTCACTGCTTTGTTAAGAAATGTGCTCTCCTCCCGCCTGTCACAGATTCCACCACCAGGAGGCTCTCATTCCAGCGCTTATAGCTAGGCAAAGAAAACGCAAGGAGAGTGAAGAGGAGAAACCCATTCGCACAAAAGGAATCTGAAATGAATGCTTATCCTAGAAATTGAGATTTTCAGAGTACTGTGCAAGCATCTATTAATTCATTATTGCAAGCATCCTCATATCCAACTATCATGGATGCCATGACTCTTGGAGACAATGGAGCGTCTGTCACAGGTGGTACCCTTCATTGAATAGCTGAGTGATAGCCTGCCTAGAAAAGTTCATGCCTCTGTCTTCTGGATGGATCTTAGTAACCTAAAAAATAATAAGATGCAGTAAAGTACAGGTTATATTTCTCATCCCTCATGCATGCCCTCTATCAGCCAACAGTATGCCTTCACCTCCTTTGCCTCTACCTTCTCTCTTTTAGCTACCTACTTATTCACAGGTTCTTAATTCTCTTTCACTTTTCTCAGCTGGCTTTTACAGTGTCCTAAAAGTTCTAAATATCTGCACTAACTCTGTTTCTGATTGTTCTATTTTGCTAACCAGACCTTTAAAGAAAGGAGGAAGGAGAAATGTTTTTATCCTTATTTTTTTACCAAATCACATACTTTTTCCCTACTGGCTTTTCAAAGCTGCAGTCATTACCTTGGCTGAAATTTAGACTTTGTTATTCAAAAGAGCACTGTGTACATGATCTCTTGACTAAAAAGAATGTGGAGTTGTCATTATTTTTTCCTTAAACCCTATTTATTTTTCTCTTCACTGCTGAGTCAAGCCTTGTGTATCTGCTTCTGTGCTTGTTTCCCCCGGTCATGTTTCAGTACGGGTGAGTGCAAGACACAGCTTTGCAATGCAATTTCAGAATGGATGATAGGTGAGAACAGTTCTGCTCCTGTCAGGAAATGCAGCTAGCTCCTGCAAGCTGTAAGTTACCATCAGTTGCTAACTGAGTTACCCCTTGTCTTTCAAACTCAGTTCCTGCCCTCCTTCCCTGAATTCACACATACATACAACGTGTTTACATTTGTGTACTTTGGCCTCTCTAATATGGACTAAAATGGAAAACATGTATCCTCTGCTCTAAGAAGAAAAAAAAAGGGTAAATGAAGGAATGCATGAAATATGCAAAGTTCCCAGACATCTGAGAAGGTTTTCCAATCATTGCTCACCATTGTGGCCACACTGTTCACTTGAAGGAGTGATTTGCACACAAATACACAGGCAGTTGAGCCACTCACATGCTCTGGAGAGAAGCCATTGCTTCCTGACAGAGTTTGCCACGAGGCTGGCCTTGGTGACTGGGAGACCAAAGGTCTGAAGAACACATGCAGCCCACATAGCAGTGAAAGCTTGTGTTAAGGTTTATTTCACTCTGTTCCTATTACCTGGCTACTCTTTTCTTGCTTCCACATCTGTATTTCAGACTTTGCCTTGTCTCTTACTTTCACAGTCATCTGTTTCCATGGCTCACTTAAGATGTCCTTCCAGGAAATGATGAAACTTATGCTTCCAGTCTGTACATTCCTGATGAGCAGATTCAGGAAAAGGGAATACCAGGGAAAGGGTCTCAAGCATCTCTCTGTGTGGGCTGGTGTTTGGTGCTGTTGTAACCTTCACCACTGGCAGCTGCTGGACACAAGATGTTTGGCCTTTGGACTGCTCTGCTGTGTTGTTTATAAGGGAGAGCAAACAGGGCCTGGATTCTAAATTCCCTGCCAAGGTAGTTTCATCTCAGGCCTCAGAAGAGCATCAGCTGTGCTTTGCCTGTACAAACAAGCACACTTGTGTATAGTGGACTGCATCATGAGATTCTGTGAAGCTCAGTGTGTATAACATGCTATGAAGATGGGAGAGAAGTGCTGAGTATTCTTTCCTCTTCCAAGTTCTTTCACCATTCCTTCTATACCTTCACTTAGACACACTCCAAGAAGCTCCAATAAGCTACACTAACTGGGACTATTCCCAGCTGGAACCAGAAAAATTCAAGATGAGCAAACTGCTGTCATCAAAGAGAGAGTCATAAGAACACTGAGGTAAGCATTCTCCCTAGACCCTGCTAACCAAAATAAGAATTTTGTATCCAACCTGGGTGGTCTTTTTTCCCCCCAGGTTTTACTCTACACTAATTCTTTGTGTTAGAAAGGTATGCCTGTGGATGGCCTCTTATCAAATGCAAAAATTGGAAGTTATGTGGCCTTTAGATGATGTGGATTCTGCAACAACATGACAATGGACCCTGTGGCCCAGAAAGTCCTTTTGGGTATCTGCTGCCAGCTCCTATGCAGATGACATTGCTTTTCAGGCTTTTCAGGAATGCAGATGACAGCTCAGCAATGGTCTGCACTACTCCAGGATGCCAATTTAGAACCCATTCCTATGAGACCTGTGAAAGCAAGGTACAGGAGTATTTACAGCATTAAATGGGAGATCTGGTTGGTTTTGGTTTCCTGTTCTGTGTTGTTCCCTGGGGTAGCATGGGATGCAAACACGAGACATGAACCAGGCAGAAGGTGATCTTGGCAGGTCAACAACTGTCATACAAGTAGCTGCACAGTGTCAAGCGTGTTCACCGGCACTAAAGCTCATTGGTTCACAAGGGGAAGTGAATCCTGAAAGTATAAATTTTGAATTTGCATTAAATGCCCAAGC